ACTACTGCTGCAATACTCTGCTAGGGGTTAATCCCCAAACACTAACACGAATTATACAAAGAGATCGGAGAATCACTAGAAAAGTTGTTCCTAGAGATTTCCAATTAGGTTTGATTAGAGGCAAGAGTCCCGGAATCGTGGAAGGAGGCCCATATTATATTGATCCCTAAAGAGGGTGCAGATGCCACCCAGGTAAAAGATTACAGACCAATATCTCTTTTAAACACAGATTACAAAATTTTTATAAGTGTGATGGCGGAAAGATTGAAACTAATTCTCAATGAAAGAATTCACCCTGACCAGAATGGATTTCTTCCCATGAGACAGATTAGAAATAATACAAGAATGATAATTGATTTATCAGAATACTATGAAACACATCCAGGAAGCCAAGTTGCTCTGGTCTTCCTGGACGCACAAAAGGCATTTGACAACCTAAACTGGGAATTTATGAAACGCCACATAAACTTGATGAAATTCGGGGATAACTTCACAAATATGTTAGATTCAATTTATTTAACTCAGAAAGCAAGGGTAATGATAAATGGAGAATTTACCAATCCTTTTGAAATAAAAGGGGTGTCAGGCAGGGATGCCCATTATCGCCTCTGCTTTTTATTACAATATTAGAAACATTACAGGACAGAATTAGAATGAATGAGGAAATTAAAGGTACTAAGACTAAAAGACAAGAATATAAACTACAGGCATTTGCTGATGATGTAGTTGTTATTATAGAGGATTCAATAGTCAGGAACAACCTTATTAAAAGAAATTGATAAATTCGGTAAACTAGCTGGGTTGAAAATCAATAAGGAAAAAACCAAAATGTTAGTTCAAAATATAACAAATAATAAACAAAAAGAACTAGAAGAAATAATGGGACTACAAATTGTCAATAAGATTAAATATTTAGGTATATGGTTGAGACCCAAAACAATAACTTTGAAAGAAGACAATTATGTTAAACTAGTACAACAAATAGGAAGAGATTTGGAGATATGGAGCAAAATGCAGATTTCTTTATTAGGCAGAATTGTCACAATTAAAATGAATGTTCTTCCTAAACTGCTTTATTTATTCCAAACAATGCCTATGTTATTGGATAAATTGTTTTTCAAAGAATTGGATAAAATTACTATGAAATTCATATGGGCAGGCAAGAAATCAAGAATTAATTTATTTACAAGATAATAAAAGCAAAGGCGGCTTTGGTCTCCCCTGCCTGGGAGACCTATTATAAAGCAGTAATGTTAATGTGGATAAAGGATTGGATTAAATTGGATAACAAAAGAATTCTAACATTAGAAGGATATGACTTACAAATAAGGTGGCATGGCTTTTTGTGGAACCCGAGTAGTAAAAGTCACTCATACTTCCAAAGACATACTCTACCCAAATCTTTGATAAAAATCTGGTCTGATATTAGGAAAAATCATTATATTAAAGTTCCATTATGATTGTCAACAATGGAGGCAACGTTCCACCCTAATACAATGGACATCAGTAAAAAGCTCAAATATTACCAAATTTTAGACAAAGAAGGAAAGCTCAAATCGACCTAAGAGTTAGAAAACCAAAAAATAATGATTGATCATTGGTCCTATTTCCAAATAGCAATAAGATATGAGAAAGATTTAAAAGAATTTGGAATAGAATCAAAGAGTACTAAATTTGATAAGATACTTTTGGACCCAGACAAAAATATGATATCTAAATTATATAATTATCTATTGGAATATGAATTAGCAGAGGAAATTGTGAAAGGACCAATGATAGCATGGGCAAGAAATTTCGGCCATAATATAGACTTAGAAGACTGGGAAGAAATCTGGCAGAGAAATCTTACAATAACTAAATCTGTGTCTTCTAAAGAGAACTTATATAAAATGATATATAGACGGCATCTAGCACCCTCCAGATTAGCAAAAATATATCCAACATCCAATCCAACTTATTGGAAATGCAAAGGGAACCATGGTACCTACTTCCATCTCTGGTGGACATGCCCAGTGGTCAAAATTTTTTGGATTAGAATCAAAACTTGATTAGAAGAAATTGTCCAGGGTGGATTGGAGTGGGAACCTAGATTGTATCTTCTGGGTATCATTAAGGAAGGTTATCCCTCTAAAGTAAAATATTTGATATCCATATCCTAACAGCGGCATGTATCTCACTGGCTCAATTTTGGAAATCGCCTAATATACCACCAATACAATTTATTATTCAAAAAAACTGTGAATGTGCAGAAATGGAAAAACTCACACTAAAATTAAAAGAGGAGGAGGAATTTTACTCGACCTGGAATAAGTGGTATGATTGGCTAGAATGTAAAAAAAATGAAAAGGGGAATCAAGGGGGGAAAATAAATTTATGAAACAGATTATGATACATACAATAACAAACAGGAATCGTTAATGTCAGTCTTAGACTCTCCTGTACTTTAAACAATCAATAGAAGGAATTCATTGGTAAAAATAAATAAGTATAATCCAACAAATATTAACAACAGAACATCATGTTTGATAGAACATAAATAACAGAGAACCCATAGGAAGTAAGAAATAACTGCCACATAATATAATTTAGGAAATATTTAACTCAGTCAAATATATTAAAGGAAAGTTGAATAAGTTTTACCACAGAGATTATGGTAACGTTTGTCTGTATGAATCTTTGTTTTTTGAGTCTGTATATTTGTATATTTTAATTTTTTATATTCAATAAAGTTGATAAATTAAAAAAAAAGAAATGGAAAAATACAGATAACAAATAGCACAGAAAGTATCTAAACAAAGAGACATTGACTCGTTCTTTCTTTGGAGCACGACAAGGCCAGATCCTTTCCTTCTCCCTCCCAGGAGAAAATATCTGATCAGTGGTATTTTAATAAAAAAACTAACTAGAATCTCTCTTCTTGATTGGGGACTAGAAAACTCTTACCCAGAGAGACCACATTCCTATGGTTTTCAAGCATGACTTCTGAATGCAGCGCTTTCTGGTCAGGATCCAGCTGAGACCATTCCTCCTCAGAGAAATACACAGCCACCTCCTCGAAGGACACAAGACCTTCCTGGACATGGAAAAAAGAGAAGAACAGGAGGATTCACAAGATCTGTTCATCTTCATCATTCATTTAGACAAGAGGATACAAGGAGAACTCATCAAATTTGCAGACAAGATCATATTGACAGGAATACCAACACTCCAGAAGATAAGCTCGAGGTATAGAAGGATCGACAGATTGGGCCCTGTTAGGAATGTAAATCCCCTAACAGTTGGGTTGGAAATATATAATCCAGGATAGACATTTTAATACTCTCTTTAAAATTGTAATTGGGTGTGGTTCCTCAAACAGCCATAAGATGGAGCCAGAAACCTGGTTTCCTAGAGTGTTGCTAGTTGCTAGATGTTCTGATGTTTGCTGTTTTTGGTTCCTGCATTTCCCTATTGACTGTTGCTGATCATCGTTATTCTTGGATTAATGTGAGTCTGATTACTGACCTGTTTATGATACTGGACTTTGTTATTGGATTATCCTTGGACTGAAAACTGACTGCTATAACCGTGTATGACTTGGACTGTTCGTTGGACTTTGCTTAACCGTTTACTGGAAGTAAAACCTACATTTTACTATACAGTGTAGCTGTGTGCTGTGTGTGTGTTATTCAACATTACTCTCACTACGTCTCCCTGTGTGCGCTCATTTTCCTTACGAGGAATTACCTCAACAGGCCCCATCTAACAAAACGAAATCAACCGTAAGAAATGTAAGGTTCTACATTTAGGAAAGAAAAACCAAATGCAATGGCATAGAATAGGTGATACCTAGCTAGTAGTCCTAGCAGACAAACATTTAAACCTGAGTCAGCAGTATGCTACAGTTACCCCCCCAAAACCCCCAAGAGAATCATAGACTGCATTAAGAGGGATAGAATCAAGATGACATGAAGTGTTAGTACCACTTTATAAGGCCTTGGTAAGAGCACACTTGGATTATTGCACCCAGTTTTGGTTGCCAGATGCAAAAAAAGATCTTGAGACTCTAGAAAGAGGGCAGAGAAGAGCAACAAAAATTAATAGTGGACTGGAGGCTAAAACATATAAACGGTTGCTGGAATTGGGGATGTCTAGTTTCATGAAAAGAAGGACTAGGGGAGACATGATAGCAGTGTTCCAAGAAGCAATGGATGGAAACTATTCAAGGAGAGAACCAACCTGCAAGTAAAGAGAAATTTCCTGACAGTGAAAACAATTAATCAGTGGAATGACTTCTCTCCAGAAATTGTGGGTGCTCCAACACTGGAGGTGTTGATGAAGAAATTGGACGGCCATTTATCTGAAATGTTATAGGGCTTCCTGTCTGAGCAGGGGGATGGACTAGAAGACCTCCAATATCCCTATCAAGTCTGTTATTCTATTCCATTGTTCCCAAGTTCCCAAATCAAAGATATGCACTAAGTTAAATGGCTATGGTTAACACAAGGTGAGAAAATGGGCAAATCTGAAAATTGCTTTCAGTGAAGAAATATTTGGGGAAGTTATATCAAGGTCATTGATTCTGGGATTACTTCTGGATCAACTAATCTATTGCTCTGTCTATCATTGATCGATCTAGTAGTCTGAGCCATTGGCTGAAAGGAAGAAAGCAAAGAGAAAATTCCCTGAGAATGTCATTTCTCAGCCATTGTAAAGTAGGAATATTTGATCTCCTAAATGAGGTGCAAATCAGAGGATTAGACATTATTTTGTAGCCCAAGGTACCATGCTCAGCACGGCCACTCCCTTTGGATTTTAATAGTCTGCTTTAGTTTTGTTCTATCGCCAGGACAAAGCAGACTCGAATACCGGAGTTGAAATCAGCTCTTTATTAGCAACCAGTAACTTCAACTGAAGTCGAGCTGCGGCAGCCCTTTTTATAGCGGCTGCTCGGGGCTCACAACCAATGGCGTGTATTTAAACTTTCCGCCGCTTATGTGGCCAATCGTAAACCGCCCCTCTTAACCAATCGTTAAGCTATGTTAACTAACCAATAGGAATGTAGTATTAGAAGTCTATATTTGAATACACTACAAGTTTTTAATACGATTTGCTTATTTTTGAACTTCAGATTATAAATAAGGCTTTTTAAAAATGACAATGTGGCAATGTGAGTATTTATTTATTGTTCATTAGCCTTGCACAATTCCAAGTCAAAGAATTACCAAAAAAAAAAAGTCTCTAGCAGTTCCTCCCACTGTGATACGTGTATTCCTATTTCTTGAAGGACTTTTTAAAAATTGCTTCTTGTAAACTCAAAGTTAGAGGAGAATCTAGCAGAACAAGATAAGCAGAGGAAACTATGGTGGCCGACAGCAACTTGAACCTGCTATTCTGCTCTTCATGTTGTGGAAGAACACAAAAATAATCCAGGCTAAACAAGGAGAGAAACAGAAGGAGAGAGCCCTCTGCACACCCGCTTCACTTCCTGAAGGGAGAATACAAATCTAATAAACTTTTCCCTTTCTTACTTGATTTGGAGGCTCAACCGCTGTTTGATCTCCATCATAAAAACCAGGAAGCTTCATTCTTTGTTTCTCTGTAAGAAATAATTTCAAAATGCATAATTAACAAAATAGAAGGAGGTATTCTATAGACGAGAAGGAAGAGCGAAGGTAAGATAGATGGGGAAATGGAGGATCTTCCATTACCTCCTGAGGTCTCCTGACTTTGATCTTCCCAAGGGATCCTCCTGAAAAATAGCTCCTGAGGGGGATTTGGTGGGTTCTTCTTTCCCTCAGGATTTCTGATCTCCACAGTGTAACACTTCAAATAGGTGGAAGGAAGGAAGAAGCAGAATTAATGTATGTTACACGACATAAACTAGATTCTTATATTCAGAACAGAACCTCAAAGCCCCCAATATCCATCTGTGTGGCTGAGTGAGAAAACAATGGAAAATGTCCTACAAGAACTGGACAATTGCCTCATATTATGAATCTGGGAGAAGTTTGGGAAGGAGGGGTGAAGCATTCAAACTCTATTCCCTTCCGAGCTCCCTAAAGTCTCCCACCTGCCACTGGAGCTGCTTCTTCTTCTCCTCTGCCTGACTCAGGAGGAAGCCCTCTGCTAGGGCCACCGCCTGGGAGCTGGTCTCAGGTCCACACTCCCGCACCCAGCCCTCCATCTCTGGGGGCAGGAGAGCCAGGATCTGCTCCAGAACCACCAGGTCCAGCATCTGAGCTTTGCTGTGCTTTCCTGGGCTCAGCCATCGCCTGCACAAGTCATGGAGTCGGCTGCAAAGTCCTCGGGGACTCTCAGCCTCCCAGTATTGGATGGAAGTCCAGGGTGGAATTTCTGAAGGGAGGATGGTTCCCTCCTGCAGGACCTTCTGCCCGGTTCTGGTCCAGCTCTCCCCACAGCTCACAGACTGAAGAGCCTTGGGGCCTTTTCCGCTCTCCTCCTTGGCCAAAGGGAGTGTCTCCATCCTTCCTCTCTCTGGCAGAGCAACTCCAAAAAGCTCCAGGGACTCTGGGGGGTATCCAGGGGCCTCTTCCTTCACGGAACCATTTCTGGGGCTGCAGGACGGATCCCTGCCGGTCCTTCCGCTCCCTTCCTTCCTTCCTTCCCCCGCAGAGGTAATCCTGGCTTGCAAAGGCTGCTGAGGGCTCCGAGGTTCCGGATCTGGGAGGGAGAGAAAAACCAATGCCCAGAATCAGAAAGGGGGATTCAGCCCCTGGACCCCATTCCCCAACCTGCCCACAGCCCCAAGCGGCTCGTCCCAGCGCAGGGCCCAGCTCCCCCCCCCTCAAGCAGCGCCAGGAAGGAGGCGGCTGGAGAGGCTGCCTTCCCTCCTCTCCCACTCCAGAGACAGGATGGGGCCCTCAGGGAGCCCGGTGCGAATCTTGCCTCGTCCTCCTCGCCCGGCATCTCTCTTCTCCAGCCTCCAGCAGGCTCACCCTCCCCTCCCCCACTTCGCATGGAGAGGGGGGCTCGGAAGCATGGGACGAGGGAAGAGCCCCCCTCACCTGGGGCATATCTGGATGTCCGTGTCCCCCCCCCCCCCCCAGCTTCTCTCGCAGCCTCTCCGTCTCCTGCGGTGCACCAGGGCTTGAGGAGAGCGACTGCGGTGTCCTAGAGAGGCAAGGCTCCGTGATGTCACTTCCTTTGCCACCTCCTTCTCTGGGAAAGCAGCCTTGGCGCTTCGTCACTGGAGGCCCTGAAGAAGAGACAGGGCAGCCCCTTGTCCGGAATGCTGAAGGTTCTCCTGCCCGAGCAGGGGGCTGGACTAGAAGACCTCCCAGGTCTCTTCCAGCTCTGTTCTCTTCTAACTGCAGGCTGTTCGTGGTTCTGCCCCGTCAATAAACCTCTTTTCTTTAATCAGCCTCCATTTTCTCCCCTTCTTGGACCTGATTTTTCTTCCCAAACTTTCATGGGGAACCCACGACTGGCAGCTGCAACTGAAGAGATTGAATGTGGGGGAATCGCGCAGCTGCTGCCCAAAGGAAGCGGGAGGAAACACGGAGACAAACTTGTATTTTATATCAATATCAATGAATTTAACAGTCGCAGCAGAGAAGACAGACAGGAAAATCCTGAGGTAAATCTCAAACAGCCCAGAGAAGAAAAAGGCGGGGAAAAGGGAAACGCCCCCTTTCCACTCACAGCAACCAATCAGACCGCGGATCCCCTCAGGCGGGAGCCCGCCCCTCACTCGGCCACAACGGGGTGCTTGGGGCGTTTGTGCGCTTTCCTTCTCCAGCCATTAAATGGGATATTTTCACATTTAAAGGGTTCAAAATAAAGACCCAAAATGACTTTGCTTTTGTCAAGCTGGAGTGCACTGTGCTAAAAAGAAGTAAACATCTTTTCCCCCCTTTTTTTCGCTTGTACCTCAGATTTTCTTTTTGCCTCTTTCTCCTTCCCTTAATTTCCTATTTCTATTTTTCTTTCTTTTGTATGATAAATAAATAAGAGCTTGAGACTCCAGAAAGAGTGGAGAGAAGAGCAACAAAGATGTAGGCTAAAAGGTATTTTAACAAAAACAGTTGCTAGAACTGGGTGTGTCTGGTCTGAGGAAAAGGACGAGGGGAGACATAAGATAAGATAAATTTATTGTCATTGTGCTCAGGAACCTGAGAACAATGAAATAAGGTGCTCTTTCGCAACATACAACTAAACAACACCAAAAGATGTATACAAATAACAATATAAAACAAATTAAAACAAATAACAATTTAAAAACTGTACAACCAGGATATATGTGTTAAGACCACCAGATTCATAACTCTGCATTTAACCTGATCACAGCACTTGGGTAAAAGCTATGTTGAAATCTACTTGTCTTGGCTTTCAGCACTCTATATCGTCTTCCTGATGGTAGGATCTCAAACATCAGGTGGCCTGGATGCGAAGGGTCTCTCAAGATCTTTTGAATCTTCCTTCTACATCCCATGTTGTACAAATCCTCCAATGAGGGAAGAGGACATCCGCTGATCTTTTGTGCCCTTTTTATCACTCTTTGGAGTGCCCTTTTCTCCGCCTCTGTACAACTCCTAAACCTCACACAGAGGCAATAAGATAAAATGCTCTCTATAGAGCTTCGATAAAAAGCAAGCAACAGACTTTCTGGCAGTTGTTGTGATCTTAAAAGTCTTAAAAAATACAGTCGTTGATGAGCCTTTTTTTCTAGGGCTAAAGTATTTGCCCCCCATGTTAGATCCTGTTTCAGGGTGATACCTAAAAACTTATATTCTGCCACCTGTTCTACCAAAACACCATTGATGTACAACGGCTGAATGTCCGAGCTGCTCTTCCTGTAATCCACTATGAATTCCTTCGTCTTATTTATATTAAAAATAAGATTGTTTACTTTGCACCAGAGGGACAGCTGATGAACTTCATCCCTGTACGCAGACTCATCAGAAATGAGTCCCACCAAGGTTGTATCATCTGCAAACTTAATGATCTTATTACTCAGATGAATGGAGGTGCAATCAGACGTATACATAGTGAATAAAATTGGACTCAATACACAGCCCTGAGGAGTGCCAGTATTGAGGATCTTCGCAGAAGAGATATGTCCATTCATCCTAACCCTTTGTGAACGATGTGATAAAAAGTTTAGAATCCACCAACATATGGAGTCCGGTAGCTTCAGATCTTTAAGCTTAGACATCAATCTGTGGGGTAATATTGTGTTGAAAGCAGAACTAAAATCAACAAATAATATTCTGACATACGTTCCTTTTTTCTCCAAGTGAGATAGAGCAGTATGAAGAACAATGGGGGCATCTTCCAATATCTCAGGGATTTCCACAAAGATTTCTCTTCTCTAAACAAATATATAAGCAGACCTAAGGAAAGAGGCGGAGGTGGAGTTGTACTTGACCTAGAAGAAATAACCAAACTGCTCTAGAAATGCCACAGAAGAAAGACAAACACTTCCTTCAAGGCATTTGGGTTCCTATAAAAGGGGGGAAAGAAGCACAGACGTCAAAGCCTTTGTCTGACAGGGAACCATGGAGAAGGGGGCCTTTCCCCCTACTCCCAAGCCCATCATCCCCGCCCTCTCCCTTCCCCCTCCCATGCGCTCCTCTTTCCCGCCCTTTCCACCATCCTGGCACCTTGCCCAGATCCACTCGGATCCGCCAAGGGAAGGGAACTCCAGGCGCTTCCCCATTGGGCCACTGGAGGGCGAACGTCACGGCTGCCTTTCCAGAGAAGGAGGCATTAAAGGAAGTGACCTCTATCAGCCTTGCCTCTCTAGGACGCCGCACTCGCTCTCTTCAACCCCTGGGACGCCGCGGGAGTTGGAACGGCCGCAGGAGAGTCTGGCGGGGGGACATCCAGACGTGACCCGGGTGAGGGGGGGGGCTCTTCGCGGGTCCTTTGCTCCCCAGCCGCCCTCTCCATGCGAAGTGGGGTGGAAGGTGGGTCTGGCAGTGGCCCAGTAGGAGACGAGACAAGCCGGGCGGGGAGGAAGAGGAGGTAGGATTCGCACTGGGCTCCCCAGGTCCCGATTCTGTCTCCGAAGGTGGGTAGAATCTGGGGGTGGGGGTGGCGGCCTGACCAGCTGCCTCCTTCCCGGCCTTGCTCGGGGGACCCTGGGCCCTGCGCTGGGAGGAGCCGCTTGGGGGAAGGGCGTCCAGGGGCTGAATCCCCCTTTCTGATCCTGGGCGTCGTTTTTTCTCTCCCTCCCAGATCCGGAACCTCAAAGCCCTCGGAAGCCTTTGCAAGCCAGGATTTCCTCGGCGGGTGAAGGAAGGAAGGAAACAAGCAGAAGGACCGGCAGGGATCCATCCTGCGGCCCCAGAAATGGTTCCCTGAAAGAAGAGGCCCCTGGAGCCCTTTGGAGTTGCTCTGCCGGAGAGAGGAAGGATGGAGACACCCCCTTTGGCCAAGGAGGGGAGCAGACTTAAAGGCCCTGCAGCTCTTCAGCCTGTGAGCTGTGGGGAGAGCTGGACCAGAACCGGGCAGAAGGTCCTGCAGGAGGGAACCATCCTCCCTTCAGAAGTTCCACCCTGGAGCTCCATCCGATACCGGGAGGCGGAGGGTCCCCGAGGACTTTGCAGCAGACTCCATGACTTGTGCAGGCGATGGCTGAGGCCAGGAAAGCACAGCAAAGCCCAGATGCTGGACCTGGTGGTTCTGGAGCGGCTCCTGACTCTCCTACCCCCAGAGATGGAGGGCTGGGTGCGGGAGTGTGGAGCAGAGAGCAGCTCCCAGGCGGTGGCCCTGGCGGAAAGCTTCCTCCTGAGCCAGGCAGAGGAGCAGAAGGAGAAGCTCCAGTGGCAGGTGGGAGACTTTAGGGAGGGAATAACTAGAGAGAGTGTTTGAATGCTTCACCCCTCCTTCCCAAACTTCTCCCATGTTCATAATATGTGGCAATTCACCAGTTCTTGTAGGAGCCTCTGGCGCAGTGGTTAGAGTGCACTACTACAACCTGCTTCTGCAGCCAGCTGCCTACAGTTTGGCAGTTCAAACCCCACCAGGCTCAAGGTTGACTTTCCATCCTTCCGAGGTTGGTAAAATGAGGACCCAAATTGTTGGGGCAATATGCTGACTCTGTAAACCGCTTAGAGAAGAACACTATAAAACGATATATAAATCTAAGTGCTATTCCATTGTTTTCTCGTTCATCCACACAGATGGATTTTGGGGGCCTTGAGGTTGTGAATACAAGAATCCACTTTGTGTCGTGTGATGTACATTAATTCTGCTTCTTCCTTCCTTCCTCCCACAGTGCTGCACTGTGGAGATCAGAGATGCTGAGGGAAAGAAGAACCCATCAAATCCCCCTCAGGAGCTATTTTTCAGGAGGATCCCTTGGGAAGATCCAAGTCAGGACACCTCAGGAGGTAATGGAAGATCCTCCAATTCCCCATCTGTCTTCCCTTCGCTCTCTCTTCTCACCTATAGAACAGGGGTCGCCCACCTTTTGGACCTCAGGGACCCCCAAACTCATAATTTTAAATCTCAGGGACCACTAACCGGTTCTGTGGGCACGGCCTAATTTGTGGGTGTGGCTTGGTGGTCATGTGACTGGCTGGGCATGGCTTGTATGTAAATATTATAAATATTTATACAAATATTGAATTTTTTATTAAAAATAAAAAATTTTACCCAAAATCAGGCAAAGCAGGCAGGCAGATTGAGTTGCTCACAGAATCATTCAGTGATCTATTTATCTGCCATCAGCTAGCTCAGTCTGTCATATAAAATTTGCTTGCCGTGAGTCTGCATTGAATAAGAACCTTCAGTCCTAAGGGAGGTTCGGCTGTGCTTAAAAGCAGACCCGAAGATCTAAGGACTAGCTAGAAAGCAAGAAATCTAACCATTTCCTGCTTCCTAGCTAATCTAAATCTCCCGGCACAGCAGAACAGCTGATGGTCCAAAAAATAGCAATTTAGCAGGCAAGTTTGCCGGGTAAGGAATGAGTGGGCGGGGAGGGTTCCCGCACGCCATGTGGGTGGCGTAGCCTTGTGTTTCTGCACAGCCTGGATTAACTGCTTTGGGGGGGTGCTCTGGGGCTGAGATTTCTCTGCGGCCCACCAAAATTTTCTCATGGCCCACTGGTTGGCGACCGCTGCTATAGAATGCCGCCTCCTATTTTGTTAATTATGCATTTGGAAATTATTTATTCCTTACAGAGAAACAAAGAATGAAGCTTTCTGGTTCTTATGATGGCAATCAAACAGCGGTTGAACCTCCAACTCAAGTAAGAAAGGGAAAAGAGATTTGTATTCTCCCTTCAGGAAGTGAGGCGGGTGTGCAGAGGGCTCTCTCCTTCTGTTTTCCACCGTTCTTTGTCCTGGATTATTTTCATGTTCTTCCACAACATGGAGAGCAGAATAGCAGGTTCAAGTTTCTGTCAGCCAGCATAGCTTCCTCTGGTTATCTTGTTGGGCTAGGTTCTTCTCCAACTTTGAGTTTACAAGAAAGTCCTTCAAGAAGTAGGAATAAACCTATCACAGTTGCAGGAACTGCTAAAGACCCCCCCTTTTTTTTCCCTTTGACTTTGATTTTTCCCTTTGATTTTTTTCCCTTTGATTTTGAAAGGCTTATGAAAAATAAATACATTCCCACATTACCATTTTTAAAAAGCCTTATTTATAACCTGTCGTTCTAAATTAAGCAAATCGTAATAAAAAATAAAGCCAACTATTAAAATCCAAAGGGAGTGGCTGTGTTGAGCCTTTAATCATGGTACTTTGGGCTACAAAATAATTTCCAGAACTCTGATTTACACCTCGATTAAGAGCAAACATTCCCGTTTTTGCAACTGCTGAGAAATGACTTTCCCAGGGAATTTTCTCTTCTTTGTTCTCTTCCGCTCAGCCAATGACTCAGATTACTAGGTCAATCAATGATAGACAGAGCGATAGGTCAGTTGATCTAGAAGTGGGATTACTTTGCTGAAAGGCACTGAAGTTTTGCAGAATCAATGAACTTGATAAAAATTTTCCCCAAATATTTCTTCTGTGAAAGCAGTTTTCAGAGTTGCCCATTTTCTCACCTAAAATTAGGACTTGTGTGACGCACAGCCATTTAACTTAATGCATATCTCTGATTTGGGAACAATGGAACAGAATAACAGAGTTGATAGGGTCTTCTAGTCCAGGGGTCACCAATTTTTGGACTTCAGGGACCACCAAACTCATAATTTTAAATCCTGCGGACCACTAATATCAATTTTGACTGACAATGTCTTGCTGACCACTGTTCTATTCCAATTCCCTGTTCAGACAAGAAGCCCTATAACATTTCAGATAAATGGCTGTCCAGTTTCTTCATAAAAACCTCCAGTGTTGGAGCATCTACAATTTCTGGAGGGAAGTCATTCCCCTGATTAATTGTTCCCCACTGTCAGGAATTTTCTCTTTAGTTGCAGGTTGGTTCTCTCCTTGAATGGTTTCCATCTATTGCTTCTTGGAACACTGCTATCAAGTCACCCCTTCATCTTTCTTTTCACGAAACTGGACATACCCAATTCCAGCAACCGTTGTTTATATGTTTTAGCCTCCAGACCACTAATAGGTTTTGTTGCTCTTCTCTGCACTCTTTCTAGAGTCTAAACATCTTTTTACATCTGGCAACAAAACTGGATGCAATATTCCAAGTGTGGTCTTACCAAGGCCTTATGAAGTGAAACTAACACTTCATGTCATTTTGATTCTATCCCTCTTAATGCAGCCTATGATTCTGTTGAAGGTTTTTTTGGGGGCAACTGAAACATAGTGCTGACTCAGGTTTAAGTCGTTGTCCACTAGGACTCCGAGATCCCTGTTGCACTTACTACTGTTGAGCCAGGTATGATCTATGTCAGTGCGTTTGTTTTTTTTCTTTTCTAAATGTAAAACCTTACATTTCTCACTGTTTTTTTTAAACAAATTTTATTAATTTTCAAAAGACCAACAAAACATAAAACATAGAAACATAAAACCTCCTTTCTGAAAGCTACTTATAGGTTTTGAGAAAGCAAGGAAGGAAGGAGAGTGAACTTTCCCTTTTAGAACTTTCATTCGCCGCTTGACAGCCTCTTTTGGAAACAATGTATCATTGAAAAAGTCAGATTTCCAGGGTATTTAAATGAGTCTTAATGTCCTGGTTCAGCCGAAAAACTTTCACTTTCTAGTTCTTCCTCCTGCACAAATCTTGTCCGGTTGTAGATTTCTTTGTGGCGGCCATTACTGACTCCACCGCCTCTGGAAAAAGGAGTCTAGCCGGCTGGGGAAAGGGGTTGCAATGTCCCCAGACCCCTATCCAGATCTCCTCTATCTTCCGTTACCTCTCCGGGGTAACGGCAACCCCCAAATCCAATCGAATCAGGGGTACAGAGTCACCAAAGCCTTGCAACCGGAAGTCCTACATTTCTCACTGTTGATTTCATTTTGTTCGGTGGGGCCCAATCTGTTGATCCTTCTGTATCTCGAGTTTATCTTCTGGAGTGTTGGTATTCCTGTCAATCTGGTCTTGTCTGCAAATTTGATGAGTTCCCCTTCAATCCTCTTGTCTAAATGAATGATGGAGATGAACAGATCTTGCGAATCCTCCTGTTCTGTTCTTTTTTCCATGTCCAGGACGGTCTTGTGTCTTTTGAGGAGGTGGCTGTGTATTTCTCTGAGGAGGAATGGTCTCAGCTGGATCCTGACCAGAAAGCGCTGCATTGGGAAGTCATGCTTGAAAACCATAGGAACGTGGTCTCTCTGGGTAAGATTTTTCTAGTCCCCAATCAAGAAGAGAGATTATAGCTATTTTTTTATTAAAATACCACTGATCAGATATCGTCTCCTGGGAAGGAGAAGGAAAGGATCTGGCCTTGTGGTGCTAAAGTACTTTAGGCCTCCATTCTCTGAGAACTGATGCCTGTACCAGATCTGGCCAAAGAGTCCTTGCAAGCTGATGAGATTTTGGAGGGGTGAAATAGCCATCCTTGAAGCATCCCAACCTTTCCAGTCTCAGCACGAAGAGTGTTTACAAGGCAATGGGAGGCTTCAGGAAGGGATTTATCTCCAAAATCTCATCGCTGGGATCGAGGAACAGGCCAAATAGGGGTCCAGACAGACAGACTCTGTGGAGTAGCTGCTCCAAGGTACACCGGGGAAGAAGGAGCTTGTTTCAAAATTGTTTCATTTCTCACAGGTCTCTGCTGAAAGTAACCCACCCCAATAAATCTAAAGTTTTCTCCTAATTCCTCCTTGGATATTTCCCCTGATTATTCCTTAATTCAAAACTGACTCTGAGTCAGATTTGCATATATATAGATAATTGTAAAGAAAGAGATGTTTTCTAGACATTTTCAAAGCTTTCATGACTTATGAATATAAAAATCATGTCAATATCACACCACTGTAGGCATGCAAACATACAACCTAATGGAATTTCGGAGAAATTCAGAAGGAAATTCACTTGACTTTCTACACTTTGATCTTTTTCTTTAACCTCATTGTCATTTTCATTTCCTTTTTGCTTTGAAGGTAATAATGGGCAGGAGAATCAAGATTCCTGTGAACTGTTCCAAGTGATCAATGCTAAAGATGGAACGGAGAAGTTTGGAATTCGAACGGAATTCGAAAGCCATGAAAAAAACCAGTCAAAGAATTGGAACCAGGAAAGCTCATCTTCCAGTGATGCTCCGATGCAAAACAAAGGGGATGATGCTATAAGAAGACACAATGGACAAAATTACAATGGGACATTCAATCTTTCTCTTGGGAATAACTTCTTTACATCTCAAAAAGTGATTGACACAAAAGAGAAGCCTTATAAATGTTTGGAATGTGGAAAATGTTTTAGAACAAACAGGGAACTTACTATCCATAAAAGGATCCACACAGGGGGGAAGCCGTACAAATGCATGGAGTGTGGAAAGATCTTTGCTCATGGCAGCGGGCTTACTATCCATGAAAGGATCCACACAGGGGAGAAGCCATTTAAATGCATGGAGTGTGGAAAGACCTTTGCTCAAAGAGGTAATCTTATTTCCCATAAGATGACTCACACAGGGGAGAAGCCTTTTAAATGCATGGAGTGTGGAAAGACCTTTGCTTATAGAAGTAATGTTATTTCCCATAAGAAGATCCACACAGGAGAGAAGCCATTTAAATGCATGGAGTGTGGAAAGACCTTTGCTCGGAGCAGTGGCCTTAGAAGCCACAAAAATATTCACTCAGGAGAGAAACCATATAAATGCATGGAGTGTGGAAAGACCTTTGCTCGGAGTAGTGGCCTTAGAAGCCACAAAAAGATCCACACAGAAGCGAAACCATTTAAATGCATGGAGTGTGGAAAGACCTTTGCTCAGGACGGTGATTTTAAAAGGCACAAAATGATCCACACAGGAGAGAAACCACTTAAATGCATGGAGTGTGGAAAGACCTTTGCTTATAGAAGTTGTCTTATTTCCCATAAGATGATTCACACAGGAGAGAAGCCATTTAAATGCATGGAATGTGGAAAGACCTTTGCGCGGAACAGTGTCCTTCGAAGCCACAAAAATATCCACTCAGGAGAGAAACCATATAAGTGCATGGAGTGCGGAAAGTCCTTTGCTCAAAGAAGTAATCTTATTTCCCATGAAAGGATCCACACAGGGGAGAAGCCATTTAAATGCATGGAGTGTGGGAAGACCTTTGCTCGGAGCAGTGGCCTTAGAAGCCACAAAAATATTTACTCAGGAGAGAAACCATATAAGTGCATGGAGTGTGGAAAGATCTTTGCTTATAGAAGTAATCTTCTTTCCCATAAGAGGATCCACACAGGAGAGAAGCCATTTAAATGCTTGGAGTGTGGAAAGAGCTTTGCTCAGAGCAGTGGCCTTCGAAGCCACAAAAATATTCACTCAGGAGAGAAACCATATAAATGCATGGAGTGTGGAAAGAGCTTTGCTCAGAGCAGTATCCTTAGAAGCCACAAAATGATCCACGCGGGAGAAGCCATTTAAATGCATGGAATGTGGAAAGAGTTTTACTCAGAATGGTCATCTTATTTCTCATAAAAGGGTCCACGTTCGGGAGAATCTATATAGCAATAACAATTCCACTTAGACTTATATACCACTTCTGGGTCCTCATTTTAGCAACCTCAGAAGGATGAAAGACTGAATTAACCATGAGCCAGTCAGGATCGAACTCCTGGCTGTGGGCAATTAGCTTGTAGTTCTGCATTCTTTTTTTTTGTAAAGTTTTTTATTTTTGACAACAAACACTGACAGATACAAAAATATCAAAATAAAACCATCTTTCTATTGTATACAGTGTGTCGGTTGGTACATATCTCTTTTGTACAATATCAACAGTCTGTCTCTTCTAATTTAAATTAAACTTCATATTGTAAATCAACTATGCAAGTTATACCATTATTATTAACTCCTTATTAGACTAAAATTAAAAATTCACATTTTTACGAGCAAATTTCAACTTTAATGTAGCTTAATTTATATTATTCATTTCATTATAACCATTGTCTACCATAATCATGTATCATTACATTATCTTATCTCTATTGTTCTATTATAATTGTGTTATAATGTATTTTATTTCCCTATCTTATCTAGCCATTGATAAAAGAAATCCCATATTTTATAATATTGTTTTATCTTCTTGCTCTCTAATTTCTGTCAATTTACTCATTTCTGCACATTCTTTTATTTTCTTAATCACTTCCTCTTCTGTTGGAATTTTCCCATTTTTAGCAAATACGATTCTAGCTGCTTTTAAAACATCAAGTATGTCAATTCAGGTAAAATACCCAATAAAAATATTTCTGGTTTTAAATATATATGCTGTTTTGTCATTTTTTCCAGCCATGTATGAATTTTAGTCCAGTATCTTTTGGCTTCCACACACATCCACCACATATGGTAATATGATCCAGGTATCTGAAGACACTTCCAGCATTTCTCAGATTTATTCTAGAACATTCTTGCTGGGGGTAGATGCCACCTGTAAAACATACAAATTCTCCTTGTATGCTGTTTGACATCATTTTATAATTTTGAGACCATAGTTTTTGCCATTTTTCTAAGTCTATCCCAAAAAATTTTCCCAAAGCAATCATTGTTTCTTTAATTTGTTCTTCTAATTTAACCTCAAATAAATATCCATATAATTTTTTAAATCACCTTCTCATCAGAACCTGTCAAAATTCTATCTAATTCAGTTAATTTATCATAAAAACCTGTTTTACAATCTTTATCATATCTAGAATGTATTTGCACATATGAATAGTAATTCATTTTTATTTGTTCCTCTAGTTCTTGCATAGATTTGAGTTCACCCTTTTCATTCAATATTTCACCATATCTGACTGTTCCATTTTATAAACAATTGGATATGCAAATGCTTCGATAGTTGACAGCCAGACTGTTACTTTCATGTAATGTTGTTTTCTTATTTTCTCCCATATTGATAATAAAGCATCTAGAATGTAATGTCTCCTAAAACGGGTCGCCAACCTTTTCGACCTCAGGAACTACCAAACTCATAATTTTAGATCCCAGGGACCACTAACCAGTTCTGTGGGTGTGGCCTAATTTTGAGTATGGCTTGGTGGTCGTGACTGGCTGGACATGGCTTCTATGTAAATATTATAAACATTTATATAAATATTGAATTTTTTTATTAAAAAAGAGCAACTTTTACCCAAAATCAGGCAAAGCAGGCAGCAGATTAAGTTGCTCACAAAACCATTCAGTGATCTGCCATCAGCTAGCTCAGTCTGTCATATAAAATTTGCTTGCCCTTAGTCTACACTGAATAAGAACCTTCAGTCCTAAGGGAAGTTTGGCTGTGCTTAAAAGCAGACCTGAAGATCTAAAGACTAGCTAGAAAGCAAGAAATCCAACCATTTTCTGCTTCCTAGCTAATCTCTCTGTACAGCAGAACAGCTGATGGTCCAAAAAAGCAAATTCTCTCAAATTTGCTTGCGGTGAGTCTGCACTTAATTTACTTGCAAGCAAACCTTCGGTCCTAAGGGAGGTTCGGCTGTGCTCAGCTAGAAAGCAAGAAATCCAACCATTTCCTGCTTCCTAGCTAATCTAAATCTCCGCACAGCAGAACAGATGATGGTCTGAAAAAGGAAAAATAGCAATTTAGCAGGCAAGTTTGCTGGTAAGGAGTGAGTGGGTGGGGAGGGTTCCCGCGGGCCATGTGGGCAGCACAGCCTTGTGTTTCTGCACAGCCTGGATTAATTGTGATCCTTGAACCCAAAACCGAGCTGTGTGTGTGTACTCCCCAATCAACTGCCTAAGAGACCCCCAAGTCCTCACTGGCTGTGGGGTTGCGCCTCCCCTTCTCCCATCCACCGCAGCTCCACTCCACGCCCGATTGGAGGGGGAGGGCAAAAGGAAGCCCCGCTCCCCTCCAGGGCTGGCCTAAACCCCCACTTGACCTGCAGCCCCCCAAGACTGAAAAAAAACCCTCCCACTTTTCTCTGCTTCGCTCTCTGCGCCGAGCTCCCGCCTCCATCGGGTGAACTCAGCCCGGAGACTGATGACGCGTCAGAGGGAGAATTCCCTTTGGTCCTTTGGCTTTCATAGACCCTCCCAATCCCAAAGTTAGAGGAAAACACCCCCTCCCCCCAATTCAGACCCCCGCCAGATTCCGCCTTCCCTCCCTTTGGGGGTGCTTGTGGGGCGGCATCCATGGTCTCCCTCTGGTGCTGCTGGTGGGGGCTCCTGGCCCGGATCCCCGGAAGCGAAGATGGGAAGGAGATCCATGGGAAGGAGGGGGCTGGGTGGGGGGAGGGGGAGGGCTGGGTGGGGCGGTCAGGGCTCCTGGAGGGGGGAAAGTGGTTGAGACCACCGTAATGGGGAAAGGGGTCGAGGACAAGAGGGGCGGGAGCCTGAGAAGCCTCAATCTCCGCGTGGACTCCGCTCCTTCCCTTGCTCCACTTTGCCCAGGGGGATGAAGAGGGATCGCTGTCTCCCTTTCTTGTGACCGTGGAGGGGTGGTGGTGGTGGGAAGGTGGCCAAACTGAAATGAGACGCAGTCGGACCCCGATCGCCTCCCTTCGTGACTGGGTGAGAGTGGGACCTTCCAGGCCCCGATTTAGGCCCGGATCCGGAGCCCCCGAAGTCGGTTGCCTGGAAAGAGGAAGGCGGCGGAAAGCGAAAGAGGGTAACTGAGGCATGTTTAAACCTGAAGCCACAAACGCCACCAAAAGTAGAAGAAAAATAGAATTTTTACAGCTTCAGAAATTTCCCCCCTGAGGCTGTGAAGGTCAGGCAGGATTTGAGCCTCAATCCCTTCTGGGAGGGGGCTCTGAATTTGAGGAGGAGACCAAGACCCCCCTCCCCATAATCCCCCACCATCTGATCAGGACCGGGGAGGGGGAGGGGGAGCCACAGGGAGAACTGATGAATGGGGGGAATTAAGAGTTTCCCCCTTTGATTGCCCCCCCATCTACCCCTCTGGTAAAAGGAGAGGAGACCCTCCCTTTGAGGTGGTCTTTGGGGGGCTGTTTTGTGGGGAGAGAACCCCGATTCTACCCCAGATCCTAGAAGGGCTGAAGATTAGAGGGAGGGGAAAAGTTGGAGGTAACCAGAGAAAATGGGGGTTGAGGGGAGGGAGGGGCTGGGAGATCCCAGAAGGATCCGTTGTCCCCATTATTTCCCCTCCCTCTAATCTTCAGCCCTTCTAGGATCTGGGGTAGAAT